ATGTGCAGTCCATCGGGGGAAAGTACATAAACTGGTGCATTTCCCATTGGAGAATCTGGTTGGCCATTGTAAGGATGCTGAACCGGATTAGCCATTGGCCTGATCCTGCTTCGGGGCATTTACCAGATTCCAAGACTATGGTCTTTTGCCCATTTTACATAGGAGTAAACGCTACAGATATCAGTTCCTGGGGATTACATGGGAGGGCACTAGTGGGATTTACATCCAAGTAAACAAGCATGGGATTAAACGTTTAAGTTACCTGAACCAATATGAAACACCAGCAATAAGAGCAAATTGATCGATCAATACTAAGCTACATTAGAAAACGAAAAACGAAAAAACCCTAAAACATCAGCTATGGGGAAGGTAGGAGAACAGATGAGGTTATGTCTCGAATTTTCGAGGGTAATTCAATCAACCGATTTGAGGGCTTCTGTTGATGGGAAAGTTATATTGGCAGGAGATTTTAATGACATTTGTGTGTGCTAAATTAGATAAAACACATACACATTTACATCTTCACATTTACTGCTAAAGCTACTCTTCATTGTTCCAGGTATGCATACAGGGCGTACAGGAATTCCTTATTATCCACAATGGAGAGGAAGGCACACCCTGTTTAATCTTAGCTATTTGGGATGGGGGAGAGAGAGAGACTTAATGGCTTAGGTTAACGGCCGATCTGGTCCAGTTTCCCACAATGACCAATCAAATATGTCTGGGAAGCCCAAAAGCAAGACATGAAAGCAACAGGGTATCTTCCTGGCTGGACCAGTCCTGAGCTGCAGGAGACCCCTATTGCTGAACCTGGTTCTGAAGTGGTACCAGAGAAGACAACCAAAAAACCTTTCTGAGACCACCATCACCTGGGATGAAACCATCCCCAAAGAGGCTGAAATTAAACCACAGAGCCTAGGACTTGCCGATCAGAAGGTCGGCTGTTCAAATCCCCACAATGGGGTGAGCTCCCATTGCTCGGTCCCTGCTCCTGCCCACCTAGCAGTTTGAAAGCACACCAGTGCAAGTAGATAAATAGGTACCGCTCCGGTGGGAAGGTAAACAGCATTTCCGTGCGCTGCTCTGGTTCGCCAGAAGCGGCTTTGTCACGCTGGCCACATGACCCGGAAACTGTATGCCGGCTCCCTCGGCCAGTAAAGCGAGATGAGCGCCGAAACCCCAGAGTCTGTCACGACTGAACCTAATGGTCAGGGGTCCCTTTACCTTTAACTTGTCCTGAAGGCAGGGCTCTGGTTCCACAGTCAGAGGCTGCAATGCTTCTGAATCTCCATTGCTGGAAACCACAGAAGGGGGCAAGTGCTCTTGTGCTCGGGTCTTGCTTGCGAGCTTCCTGTTGGGGCTTCTGATTGGTCACTGTGGATGCCTGACATGATGCTGGACTAGATGGACCACTGGCCTGATCCAGCAGGCTCTCCTTATATATGAAGGAGTGTCTCCAACCACACAGATGCCCAGCTCCAAGTGCCTTCTGGTGGCCCCCACACTGAGAGGACAGGATACTAGACGAAATGGGCCATTGATCTGATCCAGCAGGTTTTTCTTATGCTCTTATATGGATGCAGGTGGTCTGAACCACTGAGCCTCTTGGGTTTGCCGATCGGAAGGTTGGCAGTTCGAATCCCCACAATGGAGTGAGCTCCCATTGCTCTGTCCCAGCTCCTGCCAACCTAGCAGTTCGAAAGCACGCCAGTGCAAGTAGATAAATAGGTACCGCTATGGAGGGAAGGTAAACAGTGTTTCTGTGCACTCTGGTTTTTGTCACGGTGTTGTGTTGCATCAGAAGCAGTTTAGTCATGCTGGCCACATGACCTGGAAAGCTGTCTGTGCGCAAACACCGGCTCCCTCAGCCTGAAAGCGAGATGAGCGCCACAACCCCATAGTCGCCTTTGACTGGTCTTAACCGTCCAGGGGTCCTTTACCTTTTTTACATATGAGGACAAATCTCCCTGAGCCTCACAAGGAGTGCTCTGGAGCAGGAAGAAGTGAGGCAGAAACCCCACTTTTTACAGCTGCCCAGTCAAAGCCTAACCAGTGCTGAAGCACCGTCCAACCCAGGGGTCAGCAAACTTTTTCAGCAGGGGGCCAGTCCACTGTCCCTCAGACCTTGTGGGGGGCTGGACTATATTTTGAAGAAGAAGAAAAATGAATGAATTCCTATGCCCCACAAATAACCCAGAGATGTGCTTTAAATAAAAGGACACATTCTACTCATGTAAAAACACCAGGCAGGCCCCACAAATAACCCAGAGGTGCATTTTAAATAAAAGAACACATTCTACTCACGTAAAAAAATGCTGTTTCCCGGACTATCCGCAGGCCAGATTGAGAAGGCAATTGGGCCGCATCCGGACCCTGGGCCTTAGTTTGCCTACCCATGATCCAACCATTCCTTTACTCCCTGCTGTACAGCTCCTCTGCTCTCCCAAACCTTCTGAAATTTAACCTTGTCAGACAGTTAACTGGCAAGCCAGGATATCAACCACATGGTGAGGTGTCAGGAACAAGTGGAATTCAGAAACTTCTTCCTGGTTGGGGGTGTATGGAGTTTCTGTTTTATCTGTCAAAGGGTGCTAGCATTGATCAGACTAGCAGAAACACTTTTTTATATAAAAAATAATCCTGTAATTGCCACCATAACCAAGACAATGGGAACGCAGAGAGGGGAGTGTTAAAAAAAAACCCTAGCTAGCCAGATTTTTCGAAATGCCAATGAACAGACATGAACCTCCAGCATAATTAATCTCATTAAGTGCAGAGATAAGGGTTTGGAAATGTCTCGGGGAGTTCATAGTGTATGCTTGAAATAGGACAACACAGAGAAAAGCTTAGCCCATTTCAGGGAGGAAATTTGCATGAAAAGAACATAAGAAGAAACTGCTGGATCAGGCCCAATGGTGCAAGTGGTCCAGCTTACTGATTTCCCCAAAGGGAAGCCCAACAGCAAAATGTGAGCTCAGGACCACTCTTCCCTCCAGCATCCTGTTCTCACAGTGGCCAGCCAGACACCTGTGGGAAACCAGTAAGCAGAATTCAAGCACAAGAACACCCTCCCCTTCTGCAATTTCCAGAAACTGGTATTCAGAAGCATCACTGCCTCCAACTGTGGGGACCAGAGCATCTTGGCTGGTAGCCCTCGATCACCCTCTCCTCCTCCCTGAATTTGTCCAATCCTCTTTTCGAGCCACCCAAGTCATTGGCCATCCCTGCCTCTTGTGGGAGTGAGTTCCGCAGTTTAACTATGTGCTGTATGAAGAAGGGCCTCCTTTTATCAGAATCTGGGCATAGGCATAGGCGAAAATTGTGGAAATGTTCAGGGATGCAGGAGAGGATACATTGTCTGATTATAGCCTTTCCAACTTGTGTTAACAAGTTCACAATTTAGCAGAGTAACATTCCCCTTTTTTAAAACTTGCAGCGGATACGTTTGCTCAGGCTCGCTAAAGCCTCTATAATAACTGTTCTGGTATTTTCCCCTTATTCCCTCATAAAAGATAAGACACGACACAGTCTTCTATAAAAGTATAGAAAGGTTTACTCACACATGATTTTGTTCACAATTGGATCCCAGAAGGCAGACTTAGCTTAGAAAAGTAACATACACCTGGAAACTATCCCGTAAAGAGACAGTCCCTTTGTCCTCTCTTGGCTGGAGTCTTTGGCTAAGCAGATGTTGATTCTTCGACGAAAGTAGTCATAGAGAGAGAGATGGCTGCCGTGCCCTGTGCTTTTGTCGTTACCTGCACAGATGAGGCCACGGCCACCTCTAGTCACATGCAGAGGAAGTCTGTCCCAGCCCAGAAGGAAACAGGAAGTTTACCTGCTGGCTGGACAAACATTCCTCCCCATGTGTAAACATGTTCACTCTAGGAATGTCATACTTGACTGCTCTTGTGTTTCACATCCCACAAAAATCAGAGAAGGCAACAACTTGGTGACTGTTGAAGTAGGAGCTTGCTCCCATTCACACTTGCTTAGGAGCAAAGGAAGAGGGGAAACGCTCCCCAAAATAACCTGTAAGGCAAGCACCTCGTGCTAAGCATTGCCATTTCAGTTCAAAAAGCACTGTTTCCATTTTGCTCAGAGGTGAATTTAGAAAAGCCACCGAGGGCAGTGGCAGCCACACAGCCTTTTAATGAGTATCTAGGAAAGACATCTAATCTCTGCCCGGGGGTCAAGTGGCCTTTGCTGGATCTGTCAGCAGTAATATCCCATCACTGAAGCCTGTGCTGCACTGAACGCCTTTGTTGCTTTCCCAGTTTTTTTTAAGGGCTTTGTTTGTTTGCTTGTTTCAAAGGCTAACGGGCTCAGAAAGTGCACTGAGCAACAGTCAAAGCGGTGTCATTTGCTAATCGTTGGCCCCTGAACAAGAGACGCCACAAAATGTTGTTTATAGGAAATGGAGGGGGGCTCTTGTTACACTGCTGGGTGCAACTCCTGTTGCAAATACCGTATTTTTCGCTCTACAAGACGCACCCGACCATAAGACGCACCTTGTTTTAGAGGAGGCGAACAAGAAAAAAAATATTCTCTCCCTCTCTGCTTAGCGCCTCTCCAGCAAAGCGGGAGGAGAAACAGAAGGGGCTCCGTTTCTCCTCTCGCTTCGCTGAAGGGGCGCTGCACAACTCTCCCTCTGTGCGCAGCACCCCTTTCAGCAAAGCGGCAGGAGAAGCGGAGCCCCTTCCATTTCTCCTCCCGCTTCGCGGAAGGGGCGATGCGCAGAGAGGGAAAGCTGCGCAGCACCTCTCCAGCGAAGCGAAGCCAGGAGAGCAAGAGGCTTCACGTTGCTTTCGCTGAAGCCAGGAGAGTGAGAGGGATCGGTGCACACCAATCCCTGTTGCTCTCCTGGCTTCAGCGAAAGCTGCGCAGCCTGCATTTGCTCCATAAGACGCACACATATTTCCCCTTACTTTTCAGGAGGGGAAAAGTGTGTCTTATAGAGCGAAAAATACGGTATGTTGGTCCAGCTATTCAGGACGAAAGGGTGTGGCTCAGCGATATAGAGCACCTGCTTGGCATGCAGAAGGTCCCAGGTTCCATCCTGGTTAGCATCTCCAAGTAGGGCTGCCCCCTGCCTGAATCCCTGGAGAGCTGCTGCCAGCCAGTGTAAACAATGCTGAGCTAGATGCATAGTTAACTTGCTCTGTCTTGGTCGAAACCAGCCCTTTCTTCATAACCACGGGGAGCAGAATCTTATTTGATCTCAAGGTGTACAGCCGTGGATCGACGGCAGAGCACCTCCTTTGCTTGTAGAAGGTCCTAGGTTCAATCATCAGGGGCATTTCCAGGTTTAGCTGGGAGGAAGCCTGAAGAGCTGCTGCCAGTCAGTGCTGACAATCCTGAGCTGGATGGGCCAAGGGTTTGAAGAAGAAGAAGAAGAGTTTGGATTTGATATCCCGCTTTATCACTACCCGAAGGAGTCTCAAAGCGGCTAACATTCTCCTTTCCCTTCCTCCCCCACAACAAACACTCTGTGAGGTGACTGGGGCTGAGAGACTTCAAAGAAGTGTGACTAGCCCAAGGTCACCCAGCAGCTGCATGTGGAGGAGCAGAGACGCGAACCTGGTTCACCAGATTACGAGTCTACCGCTCTTAACCACTACACCACACTGGCTTTCAGTATAAGACAGCTTCCTATGTCCCTAGGTCTTAAGGGAAGGATAGAGTATCTGCTCTACATGCAGAAGTTCAATCTCTGACAGCATCTCCAGCCAGGACTTGGGGAGTCCCCTGCCTGCAACTCTGGAGAGCGGTTGCCAATCATGGTAGAAAATATTGTGATAGACAGATTAACTGACCTGAAATGAAGCATTTTTCCTAAGTTCCAGAACGCTGTTGGGCACGAGGTTTCGTTAAGCTCTACGGTTATCATGTTCAGGTGGTTTTACAAAAGAAGATAATTTGCAATTCGTCAATTCCTATTAGCAAAATCATGGAAGCAAGCCGAACTCTCTGTTTTGGAGAGTTTGAGGGGAATGTGCAGCTATGAGGTCATTTTGATGCTGGATACCAATGGAGAGGGAAGATTAATAGTGGCTAGTAGCCAATGACAGACTTATCCTCTCCTAGACATTTGCTTAATCCTCTTTTAAAGTTGGTGGCCGTCAACACACCTCATGGTAGCAAATTCCACAATCGCACTCTGCGCCACGTTGACAAAAAATCATTCCTTTTGCCTGTCCCAAATCGCCCAGCAATCAGCTTTGTCAGGCAGCCCCGTTGGGTTGGAGTGCGATGAGGTTTTCCGGCGAGTGAGACACTGCAGTCCTTTCTCTCCCTCTCTCCTCTTCTCCTTGGCCCAAATCCAAGAGAGAATAGAAAGCTGTTTAAGTAGACTGCAGCTCTTTGCGAAGTCTGGAGGAAGCAACCGGGACCACACAGCCTGCATGATAATGAGGCTTCCTAGGAGGAACAGGAGGTTGGCGGAGGAGGGTGGGACGACCCGTTCTGTAGCAAGCGGCCCAAGAACCCATCGTTTTGCCTTAAGAGAGAACAAGACACTCCTCTTCATGCATAAGAGTGGCCGCCGAGACCACGTAACACCGGTCCTGAAAGACCTACATTGGCTCCCAGTATGTTTCTGAGCACAATTCAAAGTGTTGGTGCTGACCTTTAAAGCCCTAAACAGCCTCGGCCCAGTATACCTGAAGGAGTGTCTCCATCCCCATCGTTCAGCCTGGACACTAAGGTCCAGCTCCGAGGGCCTTCTGGTGGCTCTCTCCCTGCGAGAAGCGAGGTTGCAGGGAACCAGGTACAGGGCCTTCTCAGTGGTGGTGCCTGCCCTGTGGAATGCCCTCCCATCAGATGTCAAAGAGATAAACAACTACCTGACATTTAGAAGACATCTGAAGGCAGCCCTGTATAGGGAAGTTTTTAATGTTTGATGTTTGATGGTGTTTTTAATATTCTGTTGGGGGCCGCCCAGAGTGACTTGGGAAACCCAGCAGATAATAATAATAATAATAATAATAATAATAATAATAATAAATTTTATATATACCCCGCCCTCCCCAGCCAAGACTGGGCTCAGGGCGGCTAACACCAGATATAAAAATTGATTAAAATACAACAGTAAGATGCAGTGAGGTATAAATAATATATTATTATTATTATTATTATTATTATTATTATTATTAGCTGGATGGTTCAGGCTAACAACCCATCTAGTCCAGCATCCTGTTCTCACAGGATGCACCCGAGGCACAAATTTTCAGCAATTGGTCTTCAGAAACATACCTGCCTCCAACTGTGGAGACACAGCACAGCCACCATGGCTAGTAGACATTGATCAAGGGCATAGCATGGGGAGGGCTTGGAAGGCCGTAGCTCTGGGCGCATGATTTTGAGGGAGGTAGAGTCAGATGTCCCCTCAAAGAGATTCCCGCCCTGCCTGCCGCTGGGGGTCTCTGGGCCCAGGAGCCCAGCTGGGCCTTGCCACTGCGCCCCTGGCCCTCTCACTGAATGGCCGTCCAGTGTCAGGGGCTGGACTGGTGGGGACCACCACCCCCTTTTCTTGAACCTTCCCAAGAACAGGAGGACAATATAGATTTAGAACAGTGGTTTGCAGAAGGCCATAGTTCAGAGGCTGCAGAGGGGGAAAGTTGGGAAATATAGGGAGAGGAACAGCAAGAAGAAGAAGCACCGGGGAGAGACAGCTGACGGACCCAATGTCTTTGGAAAGCATCCCTGAGCCCCCCTCTCCCAGGATTAGGCGGGCATTGAGAGTAGTAGAACAGAGAGCTCAGAGGCAGAAAGCTCAGATCAGCCAGCACAGGGATGATGCAAAACAGGAGAGATGGAGGGGGTTGGACTTTACTCAGAGCAATGCCATTATTTAACACAGTGCATTTCTTCTGAAAGCCAGTGCTGGGGGGGGGGATGTGCCCACGAAGGGCTGCGTTAGGTTTCCCCCCTGTGTGAGTGGGTGTCAGCCTTCAGGGAATCAGTAGATAAACAGAAGAAAGGAAAAGGAGTCTTCTTACCAGTTAGAAACATTCATGATCACAGTGAGAGAACAAAGAATCCATTTCCTAGGAACGGCGGTGCTCCCAATTAAGGCTGCCACCCACTTCCTCCCTAGTCACCCGCGTCACTACCGCATCTTGTAACCTGAACTCGTAACCACTGTGCTTTCTGTGCTGCCACCTCATCAGCTCTACTTGACCTTGTTCTGAGCGAATGAATCCTTTCCAGAGACAGTGAACCTGTTAACTCTCTCTCTCCCAGTGCTTCTTCTCCTAGCTGTTCCCCATCCAATATTTCCCAGCTTCTGCCTTCCGAACTATGTCCCTCTACAAACCACTGTTCCAAGTCTATACTGTCTTCCTGCTCCTGGGAAGATTCAGGATCCGAAGCAGGAGCAGGGGGAGGGCCAGACTCCCACTATTCCTCCTCGGTGCAGTCCTCCTCAGCACGGTCCCTGGCAGTGGGCGGGCAGGCAAGGCTCCATGAACCCTCCATGCCCCATGCCCACACAGTGGCAGTGGAGAGGGTTTGGCTGGCATGGCGGGTTTTGTTCACCCTCTGCACCCAGCCCCTGGTCCCGCCTGGTTCGGAAGCGCATTCGTGTCGAATAAAGGGTGCAACGCCACTGCCATGGATAGCCTTGTCCAATCATCTTTTAAAGCCATCCAAGTTGGTGGCCATCACTGCTCCCGTGATGCCATCACTCGGGACAGTAATGGCAAGTGACGTCCCAGTTCATCCACAGCAGCCAGTATGGCCAGTCGTGAGGGATGATGGTGCTGCAGCCTAGCAACTTCAGGAGGTTACCACACTGCCTCTCGCTGCCACCCAAACGCACTCAGTTCCCCGCACTAATAACGGACTAAAAATGGTATGAGCGTAGGCTCAATAAAAATTAAAAGCATGCTCCCAGCTATCAGACGTTCAGGGGGGAAATTGCTTCCATGCAAGCATTCCTAATTTCCCCTGCCAGCCGTTGCAAAGGATGCTAAGATTTCTCCTCTCCGGGAGCAGGAAGGAGATAAGAATGACGGGCTGTAGAAACAGCCTTAATTTGCCCCTTTTGCATTGGAACAAGTGCACAAGAGAGACTTCGCTCGGAAGGGGAGGTTGTTAGCCAGCTCCAGAACAGCAAGCCGGCAAAAAGCTAATCACCATTATTAACGCAAATATTGTAGCTTCCTCAACCTCCAGCTCCTCTCCAGCCAGTGGACCTCTCAAGAGTCCCCCGTCGAAGGTCCGGCGCAGAGTGACACTGGCCAATTGACTCTTATTAAGACTCCAGTAATGTCTGGGAGATTGCGGCTTTGATCGACGCGCCGCCGTACAGCTGAGGTCAACCGCATTAGGGAAATGTAATTAGACTAATAAATTCTTGGCAATTCTTTCCCCACCCCTCGCTCCCTCCCCTCTCTGCCAGAGGGGAAGGAGCAGCGAGCGTCGCCTCATTAGCCAGGGAGGGCTCGAGCGCAAAGCGACTTTTACCAGCGGGAAGAAAGTGCATTCTCTAGGACCTCTTAACCGTTTTGCCAAAATAATAATAATAATAATAAACTGGTGGATTGCAAGAGAGCAAATTTGGCTCAGATTGCAATCCAAATTTTAATTTCATTTCAAATTCCAAGGGCTTTGTAAAAGGTAAAGGAACCCCTGACCATTAGGTCTAGTCGTGGCCGACTCTGGGGTTGCAGCGCTCATCTCGCTTTATTGGCCAAGGGAGCCGGCGTACAGCTTCCGGGTCATGTGGCCAGAATGACTAAGCCACTTTTGGCGAACCAGAGCAGCGCACGGAAACGCCGTTTACCTTCCCTCCAGAGCGGTACCTATTTATCTACTTGCACTTTGATATGCTTTCGAACTGCTAGGTTGGCAGGAGCAGGGACCGAGCAACGGGAGCTCACCCCATCACGGGGATTTGAACCACCAACCTTCTGATTGGGAAGTCCTAGGCTCTGTGGTTTAACCCACAGCGCCACCCGCGTCCCCAAGGGCTTTGAGGGAGGGTTAATTTCAGGTGGGCAAGTGAGCCCCAAAACTTCCTTCTCTTGGGCCAGCTGGCTGGGATAAGGACAGTTGTTTAAGGACCGGGGTG